AGAATTTTAGTCTTTTAAAATTTTTTTTTTCCTAATTAGTTTTTTTTGCGTTAATTCGATACATTTTTATTTATTCCTTTTATTTTTTTGAAATTTCTATATTAACCAAGAGCAGAAACAGGATTATTTCACATTCCAGATAATGCACTTTGCGTTGTGAAAACTCATATGTCAAATGAGAATGATTTGCTAAAAAATTTTGGTAATTGGAACTAAGGAACAAAAATACCCCAAAACATTAGAACCCTCGTCTCAAATGTTAATCAAATGAGTTATTAATTTTTTTAAATTTATTTTCTTATACTAAATTTAAATTCATGGTCAAATTTTAAATTTAATCTAATCATCTTTCAGTGTTTAAAAGTTATAACCATGTGAAATTTACAACCCACTTATTTAGGGGTAGGTGGAAACTTAACTTGGTCATAACTTTAAAAAAAAAATAAAAGATTATTGGGTCTGTTGATAGATTTAAATTTAATATTAGTAAATTAATATTTTTAAATAACTCAATTCTCTCACATTTTTAGGTAAGGTACATTAGGTAAGGTACATTAATTCCCATCACACTGAATGGCTTGGCTCTAACACCACTGATCCTGCTGGCACTAAAGCCTTCAACTTCTGCGTTTCTCAATCTCTTACTCAGATAGTTAACTTTGTGACTCGTTTTCCTGACAACCCTAATCATTTACCTTCACTCCTTGACTTATGTCTTGTCTCTGACCCTAGCTTATGTTCAGTTTCTCCCTTTTCTCCCTTAGGTGGTTCTGACCATGGAATGATCTCTATAAATCTTTCTTCTTGTACTTCTTTTTTGGGCTCACCTTATCATCGCACCACCTACTACTACCCTAAAGCTGACTGGGATTCCTTTCGTAATTTTCTTCGTGATGGTCCTTGGGCTGATGTTTTTTCTCTCTCAGCTGACAAATGCGCCTCCTACGTAACCTCCTGGATTCAGGCTGGAATGGAAGCTTTTATTCCTTCTTGTCGGTTTCAAGTCAAGCCTCATTCTACTCCATGGTTTTCTCCTTCTTGTGCGGCTGCTATATCCAATCGTAATCATTTTTTTCATCTTTTTCAAAAGAACAACTCTCTTGAGAACAAACGGATATTTATTATTGCAAGAAATCAATGTAAAAAGGTGCTTTCTGATGCTAAACTCCATTATTCTCAGTTCACTAAATCTCGCATTTTATCGCAGAAGTTAGGCTCTAAAGACTTTTGGAAAATCTTCAACAGCATTGTTAACAAGGGTAGGTCTAACATTCCATCTCTCATTCATGGGACTGATCTTATTACCTCTCTCAAGGATAAGGCAGAACTATTTGCAAAGAACTTTTCTTCTAATTCCACTCTTGAATCTTATGGACATTCTCTTCCTTCCATTCCAGTCAAACAGGTTGACCCATTGTTAGACATTCAAATCACTCCGGCTTCTGTTGCTAAAGTCATATCTCAATTAAACTCGTCTACAGCTTGTGGTCCAGACAACATTCCTGTCACAGTCTTGCAGAATTGTTCTCCAGAACTTTCTTCGATTCTCTCTAAACTATTTAACAAGTGGTTCCGAGTTCGATCCCCACCACGTCCCTGGTAGTACCGCGCTCAACTCGTTTCTCTAAACTAGTTAACGAGTGGTTCCGAGTTCGATCCCCACCACGTCCCTGGTAGTACCGCGCTCAACTCGTTTCTCCGCGCAGCGGCCTTGTTCGTCAAAGGTTCGTGTTTCGGAGTTATAGAGTTGAGAGAGGGTTATAGCCACGAATAAGTAGCCTCCTCGTCTGTAGTGGCCTTCTCGGCCTTGAGGAGGTGAATTAAAAAAAAAAAAAAAAAAAAAAAGTGTTTGACTGAGTCTTGTTTTCCTGCTTGTTGGAAAATGGCATCTGTGGTTCCAATATTCAAAAACTCTGGAGAAAATTCTGACCCCTCCAATTATCGTCTGATCAGTCTTCTTTCTGTTATTAGCAAGGTCTTTGAGTCTTTGATCAACAAATTCCTCACATCATGAGTCAAATAAACTACTGTCAGACAATCAATACGGTTTTCGATCCTCTCGCTCTACAGCCGACTTGCTAACTGCTGTAACTGAAAGATTTTATCGTGCATTAGATGGAGGCGGTGAGGCTAGGGCTGTTACTCTCGACATATCTAAAGCTTTCGACAAAGATTGGCATGCTGGTCTTCTCCATAAGCTTGCTTCATATGGTGTTTCTGGTAAAGTTTTTGAGATTATCAAATCATTTCTTTCTAACCGGTTTATTAAAGTCATCCTTGAAGGCCAACACTCTTCTTTATTTTCAGTAACTTCTGGGGTTCCCCAAGGTTCCATCCTGGGTCCTGTTTTGTTTCTTATCTACATAAACGATCTTCCTGACAACCTTTCATCTAAAGTAGCTCTTTTTGCTGATGACTCAACTTTATACTCCTGTCTTGAAAAGTCTTCTCTTTTCGATCGCCTAGAACAAGCAGCTGATCTTGAATCTGATCTCACTTCAGTAATAGATTGGGGTTCACAGTGGCTTGTGAATTTCAACTCTAAAAAAACCCAATTGCTTACTACAAACAACTACCGTAATATGGTCAACATTCCTATATTAACGAATGGCAATCCTCTTACTGAGTCCGCCTCTTTACGTCTTCTTGGATTATCGCTTACTACTGACCTTTCATGGAAACCATATATACAATCGATTGCTAAATTAGCTTCTGCTAAGGTTGCTTCTCTTTATCGTGCTTGCCATTTCCTTACTTCTGATTCCATTCTCTACCTCTACAAATCTCTTATTCGTCCCTGTATGGAATACTGTTGTCATATTTGGGCTTCTAACGATTCACTTTCTCTTCTTGACAAGGTCCAAAATCGCATTGTAAATATTGTTGGACCTGGACTATCTGCTAAGCTTGAACCTCTTTCCCATTGTCGTAAAGTTGCATCTCTTTCTCTTTTCTACAGATACTATCATGGTCACTGCTCAAAGGAGTTATCATCTCTAGTTCCATCAACTAAAATTCATTCTCTTTTTACTCGTCATTCAGCTAAGTCTCATTCGTTCACTGTATCTGTCCCTGCATGCTCTAAAAACTTTTATTCATCTAGTTTTTTCCCCCATACTTCAATCCTTTGGAACTCTCTCCCATCTTCATGTTTTCCTGACTCATACAACCTTCAACTTTTCAAGTCTTCTGTCAACCGTTTCCTTGCTCTATAACTCTGTTCTTTTTTTTTCCTAGTAACTCCCAACTTAATAGTGGTTGCTTGCAGCCTTGTTGGGAGTGAATGCAAATTAAAAAAAAAAAAGTATTTTTGTTCCCAGGCTCCAACCACTGCAATTTTTTATATCAAATTTTTATAGTTGATTTAATGCTGTTACACAACATATGCTATCATGCCTTTTCGATTGTGTAACAACATTGTTTAACACAAATTTAAGTCAATTCCAATTTAAGTTGAATTAGAATAACCGCAGTGGAGTGTATATAAATCAATTAATTAAAAGAAAGGCATTTTCTAAATTTAAAAGTAAAAAAAAAAACTTGTTTCACAAAATTGAACACCCCTCGCTTGTTTTGAAATAAATTGTCATAAAATTGCTAATCCATCTGCCCCCCCTCCTTCATATCGCATAAAATAATCTGTGTACAACCCCTAACTTCCCCTAAAATATCAATAAAAACTCTCAGAAAACAAAGTTATAAAAAAAGGCACTAATTTTTATAAAATACAAAAATTAAATCATACTTGTTGTGATATTAAACAATACGTAATAAATTATTTTACTCAGTAACGTAAATGATTTAAAATATAGTGAAATACAATACTTTCAAAAAAAAAAAAATTATAAAACATAAAATAAAAAAAAATAACTCAATTACAGTAACGTGAGTAAATATTATTTGTAACTTTCCACCTCTGTACTCAAGAACCCACATCACTTACTATAATCCATTAAATTTAAACAATATAAAAGGAAGAAATAATTTTAGTAATTAACCCATTTATTGTAATTATAAATATAGTGATTTTTTATTTTTGCAAAATGTTCCATAAAACATATGGAAATGCTTTTGAAATAAAAAATGAAAACTCTTTTGTTGCTTTTCTAATAAATTAGGATTTTTGGTTAATGCTAAAATATGAAGTTACTGCCTTCTATTTGAAACCTCAAGCTTTTATTTATGCATTCAACAAGTAAATGAAATACAAAGTTTTCATTAAAAAAAATTCAAACAACATTAGTTTTACCTAAAAGTAGTTTATTACAGAATAAACAACTACTACATATGTAATTTAATATTTTACCTCTAATGACATTTTGCATGATGTAGACATGTTAATGTTGTAAATAGATGTTAATAATTCTGTGTAGTGAAGTTAAAAATTAAGCATATTAAATGCAATATTTATCAGGTAATAGAAACTGCTCATAATTTTTCAGATGTGTTGGCCAATATAAAAATTGGTGTTTAACTATTAATTATTTCCTTCTTTGTAACAATTCATAGTAAAACATCAAAGAAATAATTTTAAAAAACAACTTTACTGCAAAATAAAGCCTTATTAAACTCTGGGTTTAAATGAAATCTATCAACTCAAAGCATTACCACCCCAATATAACTACTAATGAAGAAAGCTGCAACTCTCTTGAAAAAAATGTCTAGACATTTATTTTTGTCAAAGGAATTGCGGGAATTGCAGGGATATACTAATAATATTAAATCTTTAAATATATCAAAATAGAAAACAGCTAAGAAAAAAATCAGTATAATGGTGTTTTTTTTTTATATACTGGCTGCTCAAACCCTCAATTAATGTATGTACAAAAAATCCCACTGATTTCTATTTCAGTATAACATTATTAGAGATGTTTCATATACAGTTAATTCTGTATTATATACATATTAAGTACAAGTTGATATGGAATTAATTTGGACAGTTTTACATTAAATTTTTTAAAAGAATTAATCAATACAAAGAATTTTAAAAATCTAAATACCTTTATTAATGAATGCACCATTTCCAAAATTAAAATTTTTTACTGCAGCTGGAGAATGTTGGTCTTTAAAATTTGAGGTAACAACATTACGTTCATTTAACTTTCTTTTGAGAATACAATAACAAAATAAAATAATAATCAAAGCTAAAATAAAGCTCCCAACACCAGCACAAGAGTATATTATTGTATCTTTATGATTGTTTGGGATGTTAGAACTCATTTTATAATCTAGGTTTGTTGATTGAGATGTTGTAAATTTAGAGTTTGTTACTTGAGTTGTTAAATCTTGATTTTCAATCGACATTTCTAAGTAGCAAACATTTATGAATCACATGTTTAGTTTTCTCAGCGAATCTGTATTTAAAAAAAATAATATTAAAAAATTAACACTTAGAAAATTTGAATCAAAGTTAATTTTTTTATAAGTTTATAAACTATAAGTTTGTTAACCATCTACTTGTAATTGTAAATATATTCAAGACATGGATTTTTGGTGTTTAAAAAAGTTTAACTGCTTTTAATTAAGAAGACCTTTTTAAAAAAATACAGAAAAAAGTGTCCAGACCTTACTCTAAATTTTAAAACTTTTTTTAAAACTAAAAAAAGTTTTAAAACCTTTTTTAAAAGGTTTTAAAAACTTTTTTTGAGGTTATAAACAGTTGTTAACAAAGCAAAATTTAGGAAAGCCAAGAACAAATGTTTTAAGGTTTAGATCATTGTGACAAGGCTAAGATCACATCTGAAACATTAAATTTCAGACCACACAAAATGCAACTAAATTTAATAATAATATTTAAATAAAATTTATATTTATAATTGTATGAATGTTAATTAAACATCATAACAATTAGAAACAAAACTACCACTGTCAAGCTTATTTAAATTATGTAAATTTTAGAGTAACAATTTTTAGATCATTTTTTATGTTCAAAAATGATGAATGTAATTGTATAAATAATATCTAAACAATATATAAATATTATTTTTGGCCTTAATGATAGGCTTAGGATTAAGAACACTGATTATAACACATCTTAAAGATAACCAGAAATAAAATGCTACTACAAAAATGCAACTTACATTCATATTATTATTTAATTAACCCAAAATGATTGAACTAAAAAGAACTAATTTTATTTTTAAGAAGTTCTTGTAGCTAAAAAATGAATAATACTGCTCGAAATTGTTGTGACTTCTTGATAATTATTTGGCATTTGCTTTAGATTATTTTACTCTTGATTAGATAAATCTTTTAAAGGAAAAAACTAACCAACATTAAATGTGTAGCAACAAATACCAGAAAATATTAATTTTTCACTAACAAGCTGAAATATATAGATTTAAAATATGTTAAGCAAACATATTAACAAGGTTTTGACACAATGAGTTGTATACAAACAGCAGGTATGCATAAATTTTTACATATAATATAAACAAGAAAATCGTATAAATTATACGGTTAAAACACTTTCTTCATTTTAATTAAATAATATTGAAGCTAATAAAGCAATGGGTTTTATATCGCTTAATATATACTAAAGGCAATTTAATTTTTAAAACTGCATATTTGAATTGATTTGAAAAAATTTAAATTACTCATATTAACGTTTTCGCACCTCTTCCCGTTTACATCATAATAGCTAAATTGTGGGTTTTAAAATAGAACTGACAAGCTGCAGATTAAGCTTTCATAACGCATAATGTAAAAATTTAGGTTTAAAATTATAATACTATATTTTATAACTATGTTATACTTATTGCTTAGTCATTTTTGAGAAATACTAACACGGTTATAAGAATATTAGTATAAAAACGCAACAACAACAAAAAAAAAGTTGTTTAATTTTAATTGCATTTTTTAACCTACTGGCTATATAAAAAAAATGCGTAATGATGTGACGTCATTAACAGTTAGCTTTTTTTACGCTATAGTTAAAAAAAAAAGATCTTAAGATTTTTTCTAGTCACTAAGAAGTGTGCTCTAAGAAGTATTCACTAAGAAGGTGCTCTAAGAAGCAGCGCCGGCTTTTAGGAAGGGCAAGGTCGTGCGTTGCACGAGGGCGGCAAGTAAATAGGGGCGGAGAATTTTATTAGTCACAAGTTTTAATTTTCCAGTAGTATTTTAAAAATTTAAAGTAAATTAAAAGATTTAACGACCTTTGCAAAAAAAAACACGATTTTAAATTTGAAGACAAAAAATTACTACATTTACTTAATTAACGCACGATTTTCTGTTGTAATTTGTAGTATCATTTGTGCGTTATTTCCCCTAGGAGTCATTTCGAAAAGTTGCAAAAAAATTTTTATAAAGAAGTTCAAAAGTTTTTATTTATTGTTATTAGATGTTAAGTTGACTCGATTTAAACAATTTTCAGTAAGTTTAGTTACTTTTTTTTTTATTTCTTTAATAATTTTATGAATGTGTTTTGAGAACTTTGTAAATTTTTTTTTTTTTAAATTGTTGAAATAATTTTATCTTAAAAAATATTCTGTCTCATGTCACATAAAATTTCAAATTCAAGAAAAAAGTTGTCTGGTTATGAGTACAGAAAAAGAAAGTCCGTTAAAGATCAAAAATTTGAAAAAATTAAAAAATTCATGAGCATTGAAAAATATGTTGCTTATAAAAAACCTGACGAAGGTCGTGAAGATTTTAACCCAGATGCTTCAACTATCTCTACGACTATGTCCAATAAAATTGGAGAACCTTCGACAATACTCAAAAATAGTTGTATAACTTCATTGCAAATTGAAGTAGATAATGAACCAGTTATTTTAAAAGAATCGAATGATTTATCGGAAGATTTTTTACAAGAAACACCTAATTTATTGGATTGTGGAAATTGGCCAATTGTTCGATCTAGCAACTTTGTGGACCATTTAATCAAACTTGGTCCTTTTCAAATTACAAAGGAAAAATACCCTGAAGATAGAAATGGTCAACATTTTTCTAGCATTTATTACATTAGAAAGATTGCGAATGGAGAAACCTTTTGCCGTAGATGGTTGGTTTATTCAGATTTTAAAAACTCCGTATTTTGTTTTTGCTGTCTACTTTTTGATAATAATTCAAAGTCAAACTTAGTCTCTGATGGTTTCAAGAAATGGAGACATTTAACTGAAACATGAAAACAGCGTCTCTCATATGAAATGTTATCAACAGTGGGTAGAAACTGAAATAAGATTAAAAACTGGAAAAATTTAGATAATGAAGAAATTAAAATTATAGAAAAAGACAGTTTGCGATGGCATAATGTTCTTCTTTGGCTGATGAATATCACTCTTTATCTAGCTGAAAATAATATGGCTTTTCGAGGGAGTTCGGATAAACTGTTTACGCCAAATTCTTAGGACTAATACAGATGCTTGCAAAATTTGATCCTGTGATGCAAAAGCATTTAGCACTTGCAATAAAAGGTAACACTTCAGACCATTATTGCGGGAAAAATATTCAAAATGAGTTAATAGATTTAATGTCTCAAAAAGTTAGTGATGAAATAATAAACCGAGTCTTGAAAGCCGTTTACTATTCAATCATTGCTGATTGTACACCTGATATTTCTAGAAAAGAACAACTTTCTTTTATTATTCGAATTGTGGACTTGTCATTAGACATTAGAGTGGAAATTAAAGAGGACTTTTTAGGATTCTTTTCTGTTTCTGATTCTACAGGCTTAGGACTTACTGAGGTTTTAATCGAGTTGCTAACTAAGCATGGACTTGAAATCTCTAACTGCAGAGGTCAAGGGTATGATAATGGATCAAATATGAAAGGAAATATTAATGGTGTACAAAAAAGGATTTTAAATCTTAATCCTTTAGCATTATATGTTCCTTGCGGCAACCATAGCTTAAATTTGGTAATAAGTGACTCTGCACGGTCTTCAATAAAATCTATAGCTTTTTTTGGTATTCTTCAGAGATTGTTTACTCTATTCTCAGCTTCAGTGAGCCGATGGAAAATTTTAATTGATCATGTTAAAAGTTTGCATTTAAAGAAACTCTGTGACACGCGGTGGGAAGCAAAAATAAGTAGTGTTAAAGCCGTTCGTTATCAAGTTGGTGATGTACATGACGCTTTGATAGCATTGTCAGAAATTGAAGGATGTAATCCTGAAACTGCACATGAAGCGATAACTCTAGGAGAACAATTAAAAGATTTTAGCTTTCTTGTCTCTTTAATTGTCTGGTATGACGTTCTTTTTCAAGTCAATATTGTTAGTAAAACTCTTCAAGAAAAAGACATGGACATCACTCAATGTGCAAAGTTATTGAAAAGCTGTTGTTCATTTTTAGAAAACTATAGAAAATGTGGTTTTAAAGATGCAATTATAAAAGCAAAGGATTTGGCTATAGAATTACAAGTGGAGCCTGTTTTTAAACCACTTAAAAGAATAATACGAGTGAAACGCCATTTTGACGAACCAGCCCAAGATGAGATTTATTTATTTTCTCCTGAAAAAAAATTAGAAATCGATTTCTTCAATCCTCTTTTAGACATATCTTTAATTTCAATGAGAGAAAGATTTATACAGTTTTATTGCAAAGTATTATTTTTGAATTCGATTTGTTATTATTTTCCATGTAATTTACCAGCACGTTTATAAAATTTTCAGGGGCGGCAGGACAAATTTCGCACGAGGGCGGCAAAAAGGCTAAGGCCGGCACTGCTAAGAAGTATTCTAAGAAGTGCTCTGCGATATGACCTTACGGTCATATCGCAGAGCACCACCGAATAGCATTTAAAAAGTTCACGCATCCTTTCTTACTCAAGTCGCTTATCTGACCAGAGGCGTTATCGAAACTCTGGACCTCATGGTTTTGAGCCAGAACTTTGACCAATGCGACACGGCTGCCCATAATAATAACAAAAATTATATATTCATTAATAAAAAAAGTAATAACAAAAATAACAAATAATAATGAAAAATATAATTATTAGGGTACGCGAAAGATTTAAACTATTAACGCGAAAGATTAAAACTAACAGCCATGCACATCGCAAAGTTTATTTACCAAGAAAACTATAAACTTTATTAATTTTGGAAATATCTAAGTACTTACAATTTATATCTATATCTTTATATTTTACGTATAGGTACAAATTGATATGATATTTATTATTTAATGTAAGTAATTTAAACTAAAATGTAGATATATGCAATTATCGTTATTTATGCTCTTAGTTGGAAATGAAGTAAACAAGACAAGCAATTAAAATGATTTCAGCTTTACTGTTAATGAGAATAATCTAACTAATCCAAACGATACAATATTATTATTGTTAAATAACAGCAGTACTGAAACTAGTAAAACCCTATTGTCCACAGAATCTGAAGAAATAAATGGTACAGAATGTTTGTCCATGCATGATTATAACAAACCCAAATGTTTATTTTAAAATGTTTATTTATAATTTGATATAATCTATGACTAATATCTTTTGGTACATAATATTACATAAAATAATATATTTTTCTCTATAGAAACCAAAATGATCACAGATTCACTATTAATGAAGATAATCGATCAAATCCAGACGATCTAGTATTATCAAATAACAGCAGTACAGAAACGAGTAAAAATTGTCTACAGAATTGAAAAAAAATAAATGATACACCACGTTTGCCAATGCATAAACATAACAGTCTTCTTAAATAATGTAATACTCCTGATTAGGCTTTTTTTAATTTTTTTTTCATGGCAGATTACAACTATAAATATGTACATAGGAAGACTATTTTTTTTAGTCGCTTGTTATGTTAAATTAGTTAAAAATTGAAATATTAATAAAAATAGTATGTTCATTTGAAACGATACCAATATCCTCTAATTATATTATATTATGCATTTGTCTTTATTATTTAATGCCTGAATGTTTATAGTAATATTTTTCTTACAATTTGTTTTAGTTTGTATATAATATCTTTTAACACATGTATATTATATTAAATATACATGTACACAGGCCCGCCGCAACTGTTTATGACGCCAGGGGTCAAAAATTCACTGGCGCCACATCGAATCCAATTTATCCGAAAAAGTTTGATTATTAATCCAAACGTTAAAAGAATGGGACTTTTTTTATTGAATTCATCTAAGGCCGAAGGTAAGGCTTGGTGAGAAAAATAGATACCTTCGGCCTTGGGTCAAGGCCGAAGGTATCTATTTTACTTAGAGGTTACTATTTTTTTTAAGAAAAACATGACAAAAAAAATAAATTTACAAATAGATTGTTGATGTTAAATAGATTAACAGACGTTAAAAAAAGATAGTCAAACAGATTTTAGGTTTAGAGTGTATTAGCTATTCTACGGTCTTCTTTATAAGAAATTGACTATCCGGACTTTATTCGTAGAGAAATTTGCAATAACTTTGTTGTACAACAGAGGTTTTGTAAGATTTTACTCACTAGCAGACTGGTAAGCCGATCTCGAGTCATTGTAGAAGCTTACTAAACGAACGCTCTTCTTCAGTGATAGAAACCGAAATTGTGTTGAAAATACGTAGCAAATAGTATATTGATTCGAATAGAAGATGCAGACATTTCTGTTAGATCTTATTTAATAGCTTTGTTAAAGTGAGAAATTTTTCTGGGCCGAAAAAGTTTGCGCGCTTCAGAGTATTCAGATGACAAACCTCTCTAGTAAGTTTCTTGTCATTCACATCGTTCACATAGATTTACGCCAACATTTTGCATTTCTCCTCCAGTCTATGTGATTCATCTTCTTCACTTAACCTACAATCAGGTTCTAAGAGCCATATGAGCAAAAACATGTACGTCAACTTTTTTGCAGCTTAAATCCTGTCTCTTATTTGTTGAATTAGAGTATCGAGAGCGGTATTGAATACTTTCTCTTCAAACTGCTTCTCCTCATTTTTGTAGAAATGAATTTCGTTCTTGGCTTTTTTGTGAAATGTTTTTATCTTTTGTGTCCTCTTTTGAAACAAAGTCTAATTAAAAATGTAACTTGGTCGACAAGAGGGAATAAATGTTTTTCATTGATAAATTTGGGCCTAGAAGACCAAGATCCTTAATAAGAAGCTTCAAGTAGGATTACTTCTGCTAATAATAAATAAATTCATTTTGAGAACTCTAATGTGTTTTAATGATGCATTTTTGACATTTACTACTATTTCGCAGACTCATTTTGAAATAAAACTTTTTTTTGTACTAATCTATACATTATCTTATTGCAATTTTTTAAAACAATATTCTGACAAATATCTTAATTTAAATAAATCAGGAATTGACGTAATTTGATACCTAGACTAATTTACATGAACACTCGCGTATTTGGAGTAATACAAAAACTTTGATTTGAGGTACACGTTTGCAATTTGAGCACTTTTGAAAAATTTTGGTTTGCCTTAAATTGGAATATAATTTATAAATAGTTTTGAAATTACATCGAAATATTTGTTAGCCCACAAAAGATAAATTCGTATAAAGTTTAAAACCCACTTCTTATTAGAAGGTTTCACATTTTTATAAATTCGGCCAAAAATAAAAATGGTTTCTATCTCATGTCAACTTATTGAAATGAGTAGTCTAAAAAAGTTTAACAAAAAAAAACCTAAACTTTTTAAAAATAAAAACAACTTTAACTGAAAACCTTTAAAAATGAGCTGTGGGGAGGCAGGGGAGAGGTGCACATATATCTCTAGGAACCATTACAAATTTCTCCTTGCGCTGTTAATTAAACAAATTTAAAAACATCTGAATTTTTTCTTATACATTTGGACGGACAAATATCCGCGTGTCTACTTAATGATCTGGAAAGACAGAGCTGAATTTTAGTCTTTAAATGGTAAAAGAGTGCATCATAAAAAATAAGAATGTATATAATAAAGTTTAAATTAGTTTTTCAATATTGCAAACATTAACGCTAATTTTTGTTTCATAAAATTGAAGATTTGAATAACCAATCAGAGAAATTTAAATGCGTTTTATTAAATTCTCATGTGCATTAACTTGTTTAAATAATTGGTTTTAATTGAATAATTTATATTTGTCAATTAAAAATAATTTTTACAAATGAAATCATTAAAGAACGAAGAGCATTACATTTTTAATAACTCAAAAGTGTTTAAGTTTTAAATGATTTTAAAAATAATTAAAATGATTTAACTTTTTATTCAATCAATGATAAATTAAAGTCTACAAAAAAAAATTTGTTTCTATCTATCAAACAGTATCTATCCAACAACTTATCTAAAATGTAAATTTTTAAAAACCTGTTTCAATTTTAATGAATAATTTATGTAATAGTCAAATGTATAAATAAAAAATGATACTATTTCTTGAATTAAAATGAAAAAAATACAGTAGTAAATTGTATGAACAATTCAGTTTGCATTCTTTATTATAATAATGCTATGAATTTATTTTGTAAATCTATATTTCTATATTTTAAATCGCAAAGAGATTTAAAAATATAAAATATAAAACTGTCAAACTGGACCAAATGAAGTTTTTTTTAATAAAATGCTTAAAAAAAAAGAAATGTTATTAGGCCTAAACACTCCTATTTTTTGCACAATTTTCTGCTTATAGATTAACATTTGCTTCTATTAACTATTGTTTAAGTAATTTTTCGCTGGCATTTTTCCATATCCGGTTCAACTTCCTGTGGAGAATTATATCCAAAAAATATTTGTAAAATTTTTAATTCAGAACTTACTTAAGCTTTACAAAGTAATATACAGAGTAATATTTGATTTATAATAATTATAATAAATACAGAGTAATTTTGATTTATAATAATAACAAACACACTTTGTAATAAAAATACATTATAACAAACACAAATTATAACAAAAACACATTACAACAACATTAAAATAAAATTATAAGAATGTATCATTTATTTCGGTGAAAAAAACTTAAAAAAGTAAAAGCAGTTAGCAAGAAATTAGTTTAGAAAATTTTTAAGTGAAAAAAATTAAAAAAATTTGAAACAAAAAAAATAAACATGTTAACTTAAAAAACTTACAGTTAAAAGTTTAATTAAAACTATGCTATTAGGATCAGGATATTTTTGGTAAGTTACTTCAATATCACAGTACAGATAATTTACTTCAATTCAGGGCTGTGGAGTCGGAATCGTGGATCAAATACTTTGCGCATGAGAACCATAGTTTGAGAAGCTGTGTGAGCTGTAGCTCCATCTATTTAAAATCTGTATTATTTTTAACTTGTGATCATAAAAAAATTTCAATCATTCCCGGTATTGAATGCCATTCCGATTAACTATAACTTGCTTGTCATTTTCATAAAAATATGGTCCAATAATCTTTTCTAAACTTTTTTCACTGTTCATCTAAGTAAATCTAAAGTGATTTTGATCTTTAACAGTTATCAGATCTTATCTACCCCATATTCTGCAGTTTTGCTTGTTAACATTACCATTGATTTGAAAATGAGTCTCTTCACTTATTATAAGTTTGTGAATAAACTCTTTGTTTTCTAGGGATAATTTTTGTTAACGAGATTATATTGAATGTATATTTTGTATATTTTGTATATAAAAATGTATATTTTGTATAATTTGGCTTTATTTTTTTATTTATTTCTTTGAATTTCATGCTTAGCATAGGAGTAACC